CACGCACACGCACACTACTCTCTCACACATCACACACACACACACCACACCACTCCTCACCCCCTGCCAAGTGTCTCAGCCCCTCTGCACCTCCAGTGGCCGGGTGGGTCCCGGCTCCACGTGGTGCCTTCTTCAGGGCAGTGCATCCCTTTTCGCGGATGGGGAGGCTGAGAGGGGAGTCCACCAGTACTCAGCCAACTGGAGCAGCCTGCCTGTTTCCATGTCCCTAGAGGGGCAGGGTTCCCTGAGCCCCACCCCAGGCTCTAGGCAGGGCCCCAGCTCAGAGCTTGCTGTGCCATTAGCTCAAAGGGTAAACCCAGCCCAAGCCCACTGGAGTGGATGCCCGCTCACAGCGGTCCTCGGAGTGCCCCCAGGGTGCCAAAGCTGTGAGTCTTCCCAGCCTCAGATGGCCTCCCATGGAGGGGCAGGTGGATTTGCACAGTCCACTTTAGCCTCCAGACTACTGAAGCAATGCATCCTTAGGGTGCCTTGAAGAATAAAGTGGTCCCAAAAGATGTGCAGTCCTGAGCACGTGCCCCAATGTCAAGTGGCCCAACCCGCCCAGGACAAGGGGCTCAGCCAGCCTTTCCCACTCCTCAGTCAGTCCGGCGTCCTCCCCCACAGCACACCTGCTCCGCCCTCTGCTCTCCACGGCCCCTTCCCCTCCACCCTTGCCTCTAGCTCCATGCTGAGTGGTTGTGGTGATATGCTGGGTTCGCTAAAAAGGCAGGTCTATTTGCCAACAATGGTGGTCCCATGTGGGCATGGAAGAGCAACCTGAAGGTGACAGGCCAGACATGTGCCCCCAAAGCTTCCCTGCGGCTGCCCCAGAAACTGGGGTAATACCAGAGGCTCAGGATGCTACTTGCAAGGGGCCAGAGGTCAATCACTGCCCCCCAACCAAATGAGTCAGTTCACCCTCCACTCAGCAGGAAGGTACTGAGCACCCCTGGGAGGTGCTGAACACCCCTGGGAGGTGTTGAACACCCCTGGGGAGGTACTGAGCACCATTGGTGTGGTACTGAGTGCCCCTGGGAGGTACTGAGCACCACAGGGAGGTACTAAGAACCACTGGGGGGTACTGAGCACTCCTGGGAGGTACTGAGCACCACTGGGGAAGTACTGAGTCCTCCTGGAGGTACTGAACACCATGGAGAGGTACTGAGTACCATTGGTGAGGTACTGAACACCCCTGGGAGGAACTGAGCATCACTGGGAGGTACTGAGCACCTATGTGGGGAGAGAGGCAAGTGGGGCGCATGAAGAACCAGGCCCCCTAGGAGTTGTGTGGACATTGTCAGCAAGACCACACCTGGGTCCCAGACCTTTGCACAAAGCAGCCACCACAGTGAGGGCATCCACAGTCCCCGCTTTCCAGCAGAGAGTGACGTGGCAGTAGACGGCTGGCCAACACACGTGTGGTCACAGCAAGAAGACATCGGGCGGCCAGCATGGGCACAGGGGCATGGCGTGGGCACAGGGCGACCACAGATGTTCCATTAAGAAACAGAAATGATCCCGCAGCTCCTACAGATGAAGCGAGGGGGCGCACAGGGTGCTGGGAGGCTCACGTCCAGAGACGGGGCTGTACTAGCCAACTCGGGCTCTTCTGAAAGAGGGGCTTAGAGAAGGGACTCTTCCAAACCAAACTCATGCTGACTCACAGTGACCCTACAGAACTGCCCTGTGAGTTTCCGAGACTGCAGCTCTTTCCAGAAGCAGAATGCCTCATCTCTCTCCCGAGAAGCAGCTGGGGGATCTGAACTGCTGACTGTGCAGTTAGCAGCCCAATGTGGGACCACTGCTCCACCAGGGCTCCTGGGAAGGACTCTTAGGAGGAAAAAAATATCTAAAGCTGAAAAACAAAAGTTTTCCCATGGGCCTGCTGTGTACCAGATAGGATAAAGTACCTGCAGGGAGTCGGAGACACCCCAGCGGCACTTGCTGGGTCCCTGATTCATGGGCCTGGCGGGGCCCCTGGTCTGTTGGGTCCCAGGGTTGGTCTGTGGTGTCTGTTTAGAGTTTAAATTCTGTCCCTCTGACTCAGATTTCCAAGCGCTGGGTGGGAGGTGAGACAGGTCTCCATGTCCAGAGCCAGCGGTCCATCTCAGGCCCTCTGCATTTCAGGACACCGCCCACGGCCCCGCTCTCCCACAGCGATTGGGGGCAGACAGGAACCCCACACTGTTGCCCCCACTTCACCGCGATGGAGACTGGGGCTTTCCTGTACTCAGCCAGGGAGTGAGTGGTGTTTGGGGCACCTCAGAACCACCACAACCAGGGCAGGGGTGGGCAAGGGGCCTGAGGGTCCAGGAAGGGGACTGGAGACTAAGGGCCCAGGGTGGGGCAGATGGGGGACAAAGCTCTTTCCCCACTGGACCTTCCTGGTCAGAAGCCCGATGTCCCCTTTGGGGGCGGTGGGGGGAGGGGGCACCAGGGACTAGGCTCCATCTCTATCCTCCCTGGAGGGGAGGGTCTGTGGGTTGGGCTGGAGCTGCCGGCAGGGAGCCATGACCCCTAGAGTGCTGATCAGGGTTATGATGCCCACTGAATCCCTGACCAGGGGGCACCATATCCCTCAATCCACAAATTGAGGGTCATGACACCCATGAACACCTAGGTGAGTGTCAGCGTGGTTAGGCTATCAGGGGGCACTGTGGCTATCCACCAGCCCTTGGCCAAAGCCCTGCCCCAACTCATCCCCTGGGTTTTGTGGCCTGAGGAAGGCCCAGCCCTTCCTCTCGGCAAGACAGCGCAGGAGCTGTGTCCTGGTCACTAACCAGGGTCAGGTCACACCCAGGGGAACACCTGCTCCCAGATGAGTCCCTGTCTCCATCTTGTGGCCAAACGGAGAACAGCAGGAGCTGGGCTTGTTCAGCACGCGAATGGTGGGGACTTTCATGAGACCTGACCTTCAGGGCTGGACCAATGGCACCATCCCCTGCCGAGCCCTACCCCACCCTCGAGTTCTGCCCTGCCCCCACAATCCTTGTTAGGTTGCAGCCACTTCCACTGACGCCCCCACTTGACCAAGGACTGGTCTCTCCTGTGAGATGATCATGTCTGACCGAGCCTGCCCCAGTTACAGTCCTGCAGGCCCAACACCAACAGCTGTCTACAGACACACTCCCCGCGGGGCTGTGGGTTCTGACTCAAGGTAACCCTAGCCGGGTTTCCCACAGAGCGGCGGGTGGTTTTGAACTGCTGACCTGGCCTGGAGCCCAACCCAGACTTCACTCTGCCACCAGGGATCCTTGTTTACAGCATGTCCTGTTAACACAGAAGAAGTTTGGGGCCCCTCGCAGGGAACGGAGAAGCTGCTTGTGCCATAGCACACAGACTTCCAGAGCTTCCACTTGTGTGCCCTTCCCGGATGTGTGTGCCCACCCCATCTCTGCCTCCCTTCATTGAGGGAGGGGGATGCTGGAGGGGCAGTTGTCCTGGTCCTCGGGCAGGGTCCCCCCATCCTGAAATGAGCCCCAGGGTGACTGCATGCCAAGAAGTGTTCTCCAGATGCCGACTGCAACCATTCTGCACTGGCAGGGCCCAGGCTCAACCTTGGTTTCTTGGGAGTCGCTCAGACACTCACTCGCATGCGTGGGCGCATATGGTTTCATTCTAGAAAAATCAGGCCGCCCCTGATTGTGAAGGGAGCTCGGGGTCACTCGCACTGTTGCCCCAGGCTGCGTGACGGTCCATCTGGTGGCTGGTGCCTGGCCACTGGAAGGAATCACATGCTGTGTCAGGTTGAGCAGGCTCCTGGGGGACTTGACTCGTCAGCGGAGTTTGTGGGTACTGTGAGGGAAACCCAGCTAACTGCCCACGCCACCCAAGACCACGCTGGGACCCTCTGCTGTGTTCTCTGAAGGCTGACGTTTGAGAGCTGCCACTCCGTGTCTTTCTCTTCAGATGCCCTCCACAGCCTCAGCCGGTGAAGAGGAAGGGTGAGGAGTGGCTCGGGCATCCCTGCCCGCCCCCCTTTCTGGCTGCCTCTCAGTTTTGTTGCCTCTATTTTGTGTTT